TTTGAGACGGAGCCTTGCTCTGTCACCAGTCTGGAGTGCAGTGGTACAATCTTGGCTCACTGCAACCTCCGCCTCCTGGGTTCAAACGATTCTTCCGCCTTAGCCTCCCGAGTAGCTGGGACCACAGGCGCATGCCACCATGCCCGGCTAATTTTTTTGTATTTTTAATAGAGATGAGGTTTTACCGCGTTGGCCAGGATGGTCTCGATCTCTTGACCTCGTGATCCGCCCGCCTCGGCCTCCCAAAGTGCTGGGATTACAGGCGTGAGCTACGGCCTCCGGCCGAAAACTAAATTTTTAATATTTCCTGTTATAGGACATTTTGATTATTTGCTCTTTTAAAAATACTTATAGATATTTTATGTCTACGTATTTGAAATTAAGTCTCTGACTCCCTGCTATATTCAATGGCCATAGCTTCCAGAATAGTGTTAAATAATAATGATTATACTGGCTGTCCATGGTTCTCCTGATTTTAAAGGAAGTAACTCTGGTGTTTATTAAATATGCTGATTTGAAAGGGTTAAAAAATCATGGTAAATCCTTTGTATTCTAATTGTTAAACATCAACAATGAGGAATTAAACATTACCAGTGTCTTTGGTGCTGTTGAAATCATTACATTTATACCAATTTGGCCTATGTAATACTGATAGATTTCCTAATATTATCCCCCTTCCCCAGAGTGAATACAACTGTATTCATGAGGTATTATTCTTTTAATGACTTGTAAAATTCAAGTCATTAAATTCCATCCTATTGTTTTTTGATAAGTTTGGAGACAAACTGTTAGTGTCATTCTAGTCCATAAATAGGGATTGCAGAAATCAGGGGTGGGGAAGAACCTATTTGTCTATTTCAATTTTCATTCCCTTTTTCCTTTATTTTTTGAGACGAGGTCTCACTCTGTCACCCAGGCCAGAGTGCAGTGACACAATCACAGCTTCACTGTAACCTGCAACTCCTGCTCAAGTGATCCTTCTGCCTCAGCCTTTCGAGTAGCTGCGAGTGCAGGCGTGTGCCACCATACATGGTTAATTTTTATTTTATTTACATAGAGACAGGGTCGCTCTGTAGCCCAGGCTGGTTTCAAACTCCTGGGCTCAAGCAATTCTCCTACCTCAGCCCCCCAAAGTGCTGTCATTACAGAAGTGAGGCACCATGCCTAGCCTCTACTTTTTTCTCTACCTCTTATTCCAACTGCAGTAATTTTTTTTTTTTCTTTCTTTTCTTTTTTTTTTTTTGAGACAGAATCTAACTCTGTCACCCACGCTGGAGTGCAGTGGCATGATCTCTGCTCACTGCAGCTTCTGCCTACTGGGCTCAAGCAGTTCTCCTACCTTAGTCTCCTGAGTAGCTGGGACTACAGGCACATGCCACCACACCAGCTAATTTTTGTTTGTTTGTATTTTTAGTAGAGACAGTGTTTTGCCATGTTGAAACCCTGTCTCTACTAAAGGCTGGTCTCAAACTCCTGACCTCAGGTGATCCGCCCACCTAGGCCTCCCAAAGTGCTGGGATTACAGCCGAGAGCCACCACACCCAGTCTGTTTTTTTCTTTTCTGAATTCATAAAGAACTTTCTAACCTCTCTCAAAGCTCTCATCACAGTTTCTTTTAATTATCTATTTGTCTTCTGTTCTTATATGGGTGGTCTATGTGTTAAATTCAATAGTTTTCTCTCCCTTCCCTTTAGCCAGTAAGTGTTGTCACTTAGCCTCTCCTATAGAATCAGATTGACCCAGCAAAGTGCTGCAGTGGCAGGTGGTAGAAATGCCTGTAGGTGAATTTCCTTGTGTGTCTCCCAACCATCCCTGGGGTAAGCTAGGAGGAGAGCAGAGAGAAAGGACGGTTCCAAAATTACGCAGGTGCTATGCTTCTCTGTGGCAGCAACATGGGGCCAGATGATCTGCGTCAACTTCCAAGTGCTTGGGAGCAGACACAGGCAGGGACCAGAGCAAAGCACTAAAACCAGCCTTTCGCGTATCTGCTCCAAGTAGCTATTCATTCTAGTTCTCTCTACAGAGAGAACTAGAAATACCTCAAATAATTTTTCCTAATTCAAGTACATACTCTTACATACTCTTAAAACTAAAGACATTCCCTTGTGCTCTAATCACTTTTGTCAAAAATTCTTCCAATACTCATTTCAAGGCATCACTTCAAAATGATATATTTCAATCATCAATGCTTTTCCAGAAGAAGCCTTACAAAAGTAAGGACCCTCTAATGACTCTCCTACCTGATATAAGCCTAGGTCTCACTCATATTCTAACCACTGTGTTTTTCCCTGTGCTAGGCATATGGCTCGTACTTAACTAATGTTTAGGAGTTAGTCTCTTTTCTTGCAGTTTATAGGCATTGACTGGCATTCTTCGCATTTATTTAAAGCCCAAAAGCAACTTCGAAGACCATACAGGCCTTTTAACAAGTAGAGACAGAATCACAACCAAAAAATGAATGAAAATTAATGGAAGAAATGATGGCAAAAGTGAAGGGGGAAATGTATGATCCAACAATTCCCCTTCTGGGTAAAAGCCCAAAACATATATACTCAGAGTGCTATTTGTAGACCCATGTTCATAGCAGCATTATTTGCAATGGCCAAAAGGTAGAAGCACCCCAAGTCTCTTTCAATGAATAAATGGATAAAATATGATATGTACCACTTTAAACTTCATATGAAATCAAGAGAGCCCGCATAGCCAAGACAATCCTAAGCATAAGAACAAAGCTGAAGGCATCATGCTACCTGACTTCAAACTATACTTCAAGGCTACTGTAATCAAAACAGCATGGCACTGGTACCAAAACAGAGATATAGACCAATGGAACAGAACAGAGGCCTCAGAAGTAATTCCACACATCTGCAACCATCTGATCTTTGACAAACCTGACAAAAAGAAGCAGTGGGAAAAGGATTCCCTGTTTAATAAATGGTGTTGGGAAAACTGGCTAACCATGTGAAGAAAGCTAAAACTGGACCCCTTCCTTACACCTTACACTAAAATTAACTCCAGATGGATTAAAGATTTAAACATAAGACCTAACACCATAAAAACCCCAGAAGAAAACCTAGGCAAAACCATTCAGGACATAGGCATAGGCAAGGACTTTATGACTAAAACACCAAAAGCAATGGCAACAAAAGCCAAAATAGACAAATGAGATCTAATTAAACTTAAGAGTTTCTGCATGGCAAAAGAAACAGTCATTAGCGTGATCTGGCAACCAACAGAATGGGAAAAAAATTTTGCAATCTACCCATCTGACAAAGGGCTAATATCCAAAATCTACAAAGAACTAAAGCAGATTTACAAGAAAAAAAAAACACCCATTCAAAAGTGGGCAAAAGATATGAACAGACACTTTTTAAGACATACATGAGGCCAACAATCATATGAAAAAATGCTCACCATCACTGGTCATTAGAGAAATGCAAATCAAAACCACATGGAGATACCATCTCACACCAGTTAGAATGGCGATCATTAAAAAATCAGGAGACTCTGCCTGCTTCAGCTTCCCAAAGTGTTGGGATTACAGGAAAAATAAATAAATAATTAAAAAAATAAATCAGGAGACAACATGCTGGAGAGGATGTGGAGAAATAGGAACAGTTTCACACTGTTGGTGGGAGTGTAAATTAGTTTGACAGCTGTGGAAGACAGTGTGGCAATTCCTCAAGGATCTAGAAATAGAAATTCCACTTGACCCAGCAATCGTGTTACTTGGTATATACCCAAAGGATTATAAATCGTTCTATTATAAAGACACATGCACACGTATGTTCATTGCAGCACTGTTTACAATAGCAAAAACCTTGAGCCACCCAAATGCCCATCAATGATAGACTAGACAAAAAAAATATGGCACATATATACCATGGAATACTATGCAGCCATAAAAAAGAATGAGTTCATGTTCTTTGTAGGGAATGGATGAACCTGGAAACCATCATTCTTATCAAACTGACACAAGAACAGAAAACCAAACACCATATGTTCTCATTCATAGGCAGGTGTTGAACAATGAGAACACACAGACACAGGGAAGGAAGAGCATCACACACTGGCGTCTGTTGTTGGGGGGCAAAGGGAGGGACAGCAGGGGGTGGAGAGGTTGGGGAGGGATAACATAGAAATGCCAGGTGTAGGTGATGGGGGGATGGAGACAGCAAACTATCTTGCCATGTATGTACCTAGCAACAATCCTACATGATCTACACATGCACCCCAGAACCTAAAGTACCATAAATACATACATAAATATATACGGTATATACATATAATTCAGTCTAAAAAAGGAAGGAAAATCTGACACATGCTACAACATGGATGAACCTTGAAGATAAAACAAGCGTGTCACAAAAGGACAAATACTATATGATTCTACTTTTATGCAGTACCTAAAGTAGTCAAATTCAGAGACAGGAAGGAGGGGTGGTTGATGCAGGCTAGAAGAATGGGTACAGAATCTTGGTTTTGAAAGATGAAAAGTACTGAACATGAATGGTGGTGATGGTTGCACAACATTAATGCCAATGAACCGTACACTTTAAAAAGTCAAGATGGTCAATTTCATATTTATTTTATCATAGTTTTTAAAGAAGTCAATAGGGAAAAATACATTATTCAACCTAAAACCAAATGAAAGTCACACCACCAAGGTAATTCTTCAGGAAATGACATTTCTAAGTACCTGGCCAGCTTTCATACCATCCTGCCAGAGAGGGTGTAGTCGGGAGATATTGTTGACCTTGTGCTTGTATGCAGTGACTAGAGTTCCTTGAAAAGCAAAGGAAAATGCCACATTCAGTAATCATGTTCTTCTTTTCCTTAGGGTGTTAAATACCACATTATTTGAAAGCTGGGAGATCGTTGGACCTTACCCTTCCTGGTGGGTTTTTAACCTACTGCTCTTGCTAGTACAAGGGTTGAACTGCTTCTGGTCTTACTTGATTGTGAAAATAGCTTGCAAAGCTGTTTCAAGAGGCAAGGTAAGCTACAACTCACTTTTTCCAATATGTCTTAGAAATGGTTGTGTTTGTAGTTTTTCTGGATCAACTATTTACTGTGTCATATTTCATCAAAATTTGCATTCTTTCTTAAGAATTGAACAAAACCACCTAGAAACATAAACGAAAATGTCATTTCCTTCTCTTTTAGCGTTCCTTTGCTGGCGATGGCACCCAATGATGTGCATTTGTAATTTTAGACTTAATAACGTATTATTTGTTGTGTTCTCTCCCTCTTCCTGTCAACCTTGGACCTCCTCTGATTATATTTATACAGAACAGAAATTTAATTACTTCTTGCCTTTTATGAGAAGGATCACTTGGTACAGTATGCCTGTTTAAACAAATCTTTCTTTCATACTGAAAAATAAATCTGTTCATGACTTTCAGCAAGATTTAGTTAAATCTGTTTGGTTAAAAATGGATTTAAGATTGATTTGAATAAAGCTTCCTAGGTCCCCCTCCCCCAATCCCTGTGTAGAGCAGAGAGACTTTTGCAGATCGTTCTCTGTGACCTTTTCTTGTTTGTTCTCTTCCTTCTGCTACCCTGGAAGGCTGGGAAGTGGAACCCTTTACATGTAAGTTTCTCCTCTGTCTCTATCCCTGTCCTGAGTGCCTCTTGCCTGTTGGAGAGGCACTCAGAGCTTTTGTTTCCGTGCATATTGTTCTGTCTAACCTATTGGTATTGGCTAGAAGCTTCGTGTGAGTTGTAGTTCCATGAACTGCAAGGGACAGCTCTGTTAGGCCCTTTGGTGTGAGCTTGTATTCTGCTAAATGTTGCATGATCCAACAGAGAGGAAGAATTTCTTTCACTGGTGTTTAATGTGTTAGCTAAAAGACAGAAATAGACCAAAGTAAAGTAGGAGAAACAGAGCTAGTTGGGGAGGGGAAAAGGATCAACACAGAGCAGAATGGAAGCCTGAGCATCCGCATCAGCTGTGTGCCTGACCTGCCCGGGGCGACAGGGTAGTGGTACCTGACCACTCTGACTCAGCAAAGTCATCAGAGCTGGCCTCTTCTGCAGGGAAAGTCAGGGCATCTAGTCATGTCCTATGAAGCCACTTCTAAGCACCAGCTCTAATATAAATCCTATATATTTTGATCAACTAATTGTTTAGAAGCTAAAGTTCATTTTTTCTGTGTGACCTCTCACTCCTTAAAATGAACATTTCTATTTTAAAATCTTCTTGTCCTCATTTGGATACAAATTTAATCAACATGCACAAAACTGTCAATGTATCAATAACTATGCAAGAATGCTGCTGATTCGATTACGTGTGTCCTTAATTGCATTGCTATTTCTACCAGACATGTTGCCTGCTCTTCAGCATATTTCTTCTACTTTGTGAAGAGAGTTGATGATTAATTTTATTCTAGATCTCAGGCTTCAGAATATCTTAGCTGCCCTTGCAGCTCTCACCTGGTACAGTAAGGTTCGTCTTGGCCATGGGTCATCTTTCTATGGGCTATTTTAAGATATTCTAAATTGTCCTTTCTTTGAAGGTAACGTAAGTATAGATTTTTCTAAGTGCAATTTTAAAAATCTGACTAAGCATGCAAATGTAAATTAATCACTGTCAATCTGGAGTTTTCTATTTATGACTAATGGACTTAACATAGTGGAGCTTTGCTATAATGCTGGCTTTGTGACTCACAGTGTTTAAGTTCAGTTATCTTTATCTAGCCATTTTGGAGTCTGAGTATCTAAATCTTTTTGGAGGTGGCCTCTGTGAGTTTAGTCCTGTCTCAGAGGGCATTGGAGTGAGGTTCACTTTTGCGATATTTACGTCATCACCACTGGTTGGCATAAAGCAGTACTTCTCAGCTTTTACTTTCTCTGACCCCACCCACCTGAGAGATACGACCTTCTCCCCAGGAACTGTAGTTTCTCAAATTGGGCAGGGTGGAGGGAGTCTAGAGTTCTCATGTTAGAGTGTAGTGGTAGCACAGAGAAGATGTGATACGGGAAAGCCCCGGTTAATTCTGCCATACCTCCCAAGAGACTTTGCCAACCTCCCCAGCCCTCCTGTAAGAATCACAGGAGGACCAGATTGGGAAAATTCCTATGAAGGGACACCACCAGTTCTCTTTTGTCATGCCACTGAAAAATATAAGCAGTGATCAAAAATCTTAAGGCCTGCTGAGTAAAAATCGTTACCCGAATTTAGACTTACAGAATAGGAGGTTCAAACTGTTTTTATATTAAAAGCAGTATTTTCTTAATTTCCCCCCAAAAATTACTTCCTTGCTAGACAGTAGGATTTTTCTCAGCCTTTATGGTAATGTACAGATTTAAATCATCTCACCTTATTTTGACCTCCATGTGACTTAGTGAGATTGAATGGAGGATTGAAGAGATTTGGCAGGATGGGAGCTAGTTCTTGATGATCTACTCAGATTTTCCTCAGGAAATATTTTAAGCTCCACCCCACCCAGCAGGTTCTTAAGATGCCTCCTGGCCAGGTGCGGTGGCTCACACCTATAATCCCAGCACTCTGGGAGGATGAGGTGGGTGGATCACGTGAGGTCAGAAGTTCCAGACCAGCCTGGCCAACATGGTAAAACCCTGTCTCTACTAAAAATACAAAAATTATCCAGGTGTGATGGAGCACACCTGTAATCCTAGCTACTTGAGAGGCTGAGGCAGGAGGATCACCTGAACCCAGGAGGCAGAGGTGGTGGTGAGCTGAGATCATGCTACTGCCCTCCAGCCGGGGTGACAGGGCAAGACTCTGACTCAAAAAAAAAAAAAAAAAATGCCTCCTGCTGCCATTTGTTGTGTGACATATAAAACAAAATTCTAATTATAGCATACAAAAAATAAAAATGTAATCATAAAACAATGCATTACAAAGCCAAATAGGGATTTTTTTTTTTTTTTAACCAATGTTCTGAGCTAGTAACTGTCTCCATTGGTGTGGTTGAGAGGTGACTTTAAATTATTCTCAAGGAGAATGTGATCATCAATGAGTAAATTGACCCATTTGTACCAAATTCCTTTGATGCCATTCCAGTGGCACAGTATGCTACTTTTTGAGTAAAAGCTGAATTCATGGTCTAGTACATTCTCAATATGGAAAGGTAGCTTAAAGAGCTCAGAAGTCTAGCCCTCCATGATACTTACATTCCTTCATAAATGACTTTGTCACCTACATTTTGTCCCTCCAATGAAGGGGAACTTATTGGTATGGCAATGTTCTCAGCCTCTTAATTTTTTTAACATTGGGATCTGTTTACCTTTGTGTATGACTGCATGTGCTTCTAGCATGCTGTACCTTGATGATTTCTTAGGTGCTGGTTATACTTACCTGCTTCTACTCCACAGGTGTCCAAGGATGATCGAAGTGATATTGAGTCTAGCTCAGATGATGAGGACTCGGAACCTCCAGGGAAGAATCCCCACACTGGGACAACCACCAATGGCACCAGTGGCACCAACGGGTATCTCCTGACTGGCTCCTGCTCCATGGATGATTAATTACTCAAAACTACAAGTCCCAAGAAAAGTGAACTATTTGTTCCTGGAAGTATTTAATAAGTTGCAAATGCAGTTCCTTTCATAATATCTCAGCACCAGAAACAAAAATTAAGATTATCAAAGCATTTTGAATAGTGCACTGCCATGTGTCCTGTCTGTGAATGAAGAATTATCATTCTATGTAGGCATGCTGTATGTAATTGACACAGGGAACAGTATTTGCATTTGTACTGTCTTAGAATATTATTTATTTTTTGTATTTGTAAATCTGTGGACAAAAGATGGTTTCCTCACTCCTTTTACTCACTGGGCTCATGACAGTGAAGGAGATGCTCCATCTGCTTCTCCCCCCTTCTCTTGCTGTAGTCCAATGTGCTATGAGCATCAGCTTACTTTGTCACTTAGAGCAAGGAAAACCCAGTGCAAGATTCTCGTTCAGCTCTAAATAGGTTTGCTTTGTGTTACAGTACCCATTTTGAAATTGCCTATACAGTCTCAGTGACCATTTAAACCGAACGAACTAGGTGTTTAATTTTCACTCTTTATGGTCGATTAGCAGTTCAAATTAAAGAAGATGGTTATTGGAGGACGTTTCTGAATGGTTTTTATATTGCTTTGAAATAGATTTCATTTCTTGTGCACACAGCCAAGATTTCTTCAGTGGGTGTGATAGCTAGTTGAGGGTTAACCTTGTAGGTTACAATGTGTGTTTGTTTTTCTCTAAGTTGAGGTCAGTGCTCTGATTCTGAAGGAGGATTTTCTCTGAAGCTTATAGTTATAAACAAGGAAATCACTGTTAAGAATGGGAATTTGTCCTGTGTTCTGGGAATAACATAAAGAGAGCAACTGATTACAGCCAGGCTTGCCACTACTCTATAATTAGTGCAGTTTTCTGTCATGTTATAAAAGAAAGAAGCTAAGTATATTTGGGGACAAAAAAATCTTTCAAGAGTTGATAAAGATTACCTCTCCAGTGCAAAGCACTTCAATGCAACCAGCTTTCAAGAAAAAGCCCTATCTAGTACTTGATGTCGATGTTTTTATTTTGCTGAGCAAAATAAAGCCAATGGGAGAAAGTCTATTTTACCCTTTGCTTTTCTCCTTAAACATAATGCAGATGACTTTCCTGTTACTAGACACGGAGCAGCATTACACTCTGATGCTTCTTTGAAGACTTGTTTGGTTTCCAGGAGTTTTTTTCAAATGGGGCTATTTCTGGAAAAATGAAAAATTCTATTGGACAATGGCAATATCAACCAGGAAAATTACTGAAGAATAAGTTTCCATAAGTCTCCTACACAGCAGCGTTATTTATATACAGATAAGAAAACCATACATAGGCCAAAGATTTTATCTCTTCTAACTTTTAGTAAGAGGAAAAAGGGATTATAAATCCTTCAGAAATCAAGAAGGCCATCAACCTAAAACAGGAGTCCCAAACAAAAAAGCCTTTATATAAATGTGTGAATCAGGGTGCTGAAGACAACAGCAGAAATACTAACAAGTGTGCAGAACTACCAGAGTGTGTATATCCTGCTTAGAAGCATTCACATTTGATTCTTTGAAAAAATTAAAGCTCTGTGCCCACAATTTGCAGCCTGCGGGTTAATAGTTAAAAGAATGCTCCCAAACAAAAAATTATTACTGTAGTATATCTTATCCCACTTATTTACAAAATAATATGTTTCTGTTATGGTCCACAGTAATAATTGAAGAGGCTTAAAAATCCGTCTGCTTGTTTATTGAGAAAACGATGCAAATAATTCTGCTTGTAGAGCGCAGATATTTTATTTCACAACACAGACATATGTCTAGGAGTGTAATTTGTGGGTGGCTGAGTTTGTAAAAACAATCATAGAAGTACTTGTCATCAGAACATCTGCTAAAATGCAGGCATATATATATATATATATATAAAGTAGCTGAAAATTTTGAGAAGGTGAAAGTTTGGTAATTAAAACATGAACGTATTTAGCTTGCTTTAGTGTCTGGAGCAAGTCCTCTCAATGGGTAAAATTAACTTTAGGGATCCACAGTCTTGAGGTTTAGATTATATGACACTTGAGCACAGAAGAATTTCAAAGAGATCAGCTTATAAATGAAAGGTTTAGAAGAATTGCACAAAATGAAGTCAATTGGATCTGTCATTACCAAAGACAAATCTAAATAATCATACCCGCCCCCGTGCCTCTCCCCACAAAGAAGTTCAGTAGAAGGAGAACTGGGACCACCTGGAGCCTCTCTAACTGATGGCATTAACACAGTCCTGTATGTTATCTATAGGTTTTTATTTCATTTTGCATTTTAGGGCAGAGTTCTTTTGGGCTAATTAAAATGGGGTTTGCAGGCTTTTCATGGTGTAGAATAATATATCTCTGTCTATAGCTTTCCTGTGGTAGCCTGAGAAGGCTGAGAGAGAAAAATACGTGCAGTTTCTCATCCTCCCTGTGCCAGGCCATAGTTTTGAAGTATAGTTTGTAAATTCAACTATAGGTTAGTGAGAGTGTTGTTTCTCGTTGATTAACTTAGCCTGTGTGGATATCTCCTTCTTCCTGGTCACCTTCAAACCTTCCCAGAGCACAAAGAAGTATGTAGAAAGGATTCTAGAATAAGTAATACTTTATTCTCCAATATGAATAGCTTTTCTGGATCTCTTAGTGGGGGGAAAGTAGAAAATTGAGAATTTGGCCTCAGGTCAATAAATGATATCAAAATATGTGTTCTTTGTATATATATGTATGTTTCTCCAAAAAGTGATAAAAGCAAAATATCACTGACTCATCCTTACCAATATTCTTTTCATAAAACCCATTCCCCAGGTACAATAGAAACTTCCTCCTTGTTTGTCAGCCTCCTGGTCATGCTCCTCGCACACGTGAAGGTAGTAGAATCTTTTCAGCCTCTTACCAGAGAGCTAAATATGGCTAAGTGCAGGTTATAGAGCACTTAAGGTCAACATAGAAGCCAACTGAAGTTCACTTTTCCAAACTTGGTCCTGTGGATGTTGCGCATAGGGAAGCAACTATCAGCATTTGGATTATTCAAGTGTATGTGTTAAAAATGCAAATGCTTGCTGCTTTACCCTAGGGTTTTATTAGCATCCTACTTCTGCTGGGCTGCCAGACAGATGGCGTCCAGAGGTCTCATCACATAATGCCACAGGCATCTGGTCCAGGTAAACAAGGCAGAAAGGGTAGGCAAGAAGCAAGATAAAATCAGATCACCTTGGATCAGAATGGTGGGTGAACCTCCACATGTCCAGTTCTGTTGCCAGACTTTCCACTCTGAGTATTTGATGGAGTTTGAATTTGAGCAAACTGAATGCCTTCATCTTAGGTAGAAAGGGCCTGAATCTTCCACTTTGTATTCAAACCTCATTGTTATTTAGCCTAAGTAAAAAGTGAGATTGCATTTCCGTTTACCTGAGTTTGCTTTAAAGAGCTTTTCAAAGAGAGCTTTATAGACATCCACGATTGACCCTAATCTCTTCATGATTTTGCATTAATAGTTGTTTTGTCCCTTTCCTGGAAACATTAATGCCAAAGTTGCCTGAACATTTGAGTGTTTTTCTTAATTTGAAGTATAAAAATTATAAAGAATAAAAAAAATTATGAAGAATAATTCCAAAGGTATTAAAAGATTGTTTATCAGTATATGTGGTGATGTCATTATCTCCAGAGAGGCTTTTGAAATAAAAAAAAAAAAAAAGGTTAAATGTTTACATTTCATGTGCTATTTGAGGTCTTCGGGTTCTGATTAGCTTACTTTTTTTTCTTTTGCCTTTGGCTGATTTCTGCTTTGTAGATAAATAATAGCCCTGAAATGTTTCTAACATTCAAATAAGAAAAAAATCAAATTGAAGTCAGCCTGCTGGAAAAGTGATCACATTGTACTTCCAGCAACTTGTATGGAAAGAGAAATTGCAGTGAGCCCCAGTTACTCCACTAGCCACTAGCATACTGTCCATGGAAGGAATAATCATCAACAGTTCAATCATCACAAGCCACCCTTGAAGGAAACGCAGCAAAATATTCTTAAATGAAGATATTGCAGCCCCCAGAGATGGTAAAGTTTTCTTTTGGCAAAATGAAATTGTGCCATTCTCAAATCACCCCATAGTGATGAGCTGACTGGTTCACTGGCCTCATTTTAGCTCTTCATAGTTTGGGGCCAGAAAACTGGTTCAGGGGCCAGAAAAGGGCTCTGTGGTTTGCCTTTGTGTGTACTGTCCCCTCCCCACCTCTAGGGGGCACTCAGTAGCTGCTGAGAAGGCCCATCCACGCTGCTGCTGGAACCCCTCTAATTAAACACTTAGATATAGTGTTTACTGATGCTTGTTTTCATGAAGAAAACTGTATTGGAGAACATACAGCATCATGAATATTTTTAATAGGCTCCACAGACACCCAAAGGAGAAGGCTAGTCTTTTCCAGGTATTTTCAACTTGACTTCAACACAAAGCCTTTGAAAGGAATGCATTACCACATGGCCACATGCTAAGACCCCACATAAGAAAGTATCTGCAGCCAGATAGTACATGGTATCTCCACAAAACTAGGCATTCTGGAGATTGCCCAGAAAGGGATGGGAGGGGACAGTGTCTCTGTCTTGCTTATCTCATGCATTCACACTCCTTTCAGCCTCCTGGAACTCCTGATAAAAGGAAGCTGGGTATTGACATTTTTTAGCTATTGATTTCCCAATAGCTTGTGGATCAGTTGTATATCCACACTTCCTTCTCTGCCTAATTCCGTTTTTCTGAAAAAAAAAAAAAAAAAAAAAAAGTGTATCATGCCCATATGTGTGTTTTCTTAACACAGGTTCGTGAAAGTTTGGCTTTGTAGTTTGGTGTCTGTTGTATGGCCTAGAAACCACGGAGAAACAACTATTGAGATGGTTTCTGTGTTCAGTGAAAAATTCTATTTTGTTGAGACATTTTTTTCTTTATTATCCACAGTAATTTTTTAAAACTGTCATCGTGAACCTACCCTTAAAAAAATAAGATTAGCTGCAAAAAAAGAAATTAGCCATGGAATAGGAACAGTTATGTGATGATTCTGGAACTTTAACTTAGAGCTTCATTACTTTAAGAGTGGAAAACAACCTCTGAGCTTGATTTCCCAAAGTTTCATAAAGCCCCTAAGCTCATGATTTTCATCAACTCTTTGCCCACATAGTCATTTACCTCCATAGCCACTTGTCATGGAAGGGGTGGTGATGTTTGGATTTGATTTTTTTCAACTTGCAGTGAGAAATAGGATAGTTAACAAAACCTTACTTGTTTTTTTAAGACAATTCAGTGCTTGAGCATCTCTGTCAGAAATGGAATGAAATACTGTTAGCCAATTAGAATTATTTTGTGTATTGTTATTGTGTTTTACTGATTTTTATATGAAAATATAAGTATTCATTCTTGATTTCTGGAAGCAATCATTATTATGAGGATCATTTTACTTTGGAAACACTTTCATAATAAAGATAAGTATTAAGAGTTCAGTGTAAGTGCCCTTTACTGTAAATGCTAACCAGCTCGTGTGGGTAAAACATCACATCTCACTGAATGAGGTTAATAAAGGCTCACACCATTCCAATAGGTTACTACAAGCCTCCTCAAATCCCAGTATCACTCACTGAGAAAGTAATGTTACATTAACTTGGATATAGTATTTCTTTGAAAATTAAGATTAAACCCTCAATTATAAATTTTATGTAGCACTTTATTCTGGAAAAAATATGATTTATATAGATCATCTGAAATATATCAGATTATTCTTATTTTTAAAACAATTTTAAAAGAGGCGCTTAGGGTAAACAACCCAAAGCACAACACGGAATTCCCCTTCTCTGTGTATGCCTGCCTCCTCAGAGCTCGGCCCACAGCATCTTCTCTTGGTTTGTGCCTCACTTTGTTAGAACTTCTCTCCATCTTTCTCTGTCTTTCCTGGTAAATACTGTCTTTCTCAATCTGCTCTTCTACTCTAAACTTATGTCATCTAGTATCTCAAAAGCCATAAAAATAGCACAAATTCAAACAGACACCCCACCACTATCACAAGTATAAAAAATAAAGCAGACACCCTATTAAAATCTTATAAATATAACCACACCGACAATAGAATAACTCATGCTGATTTCAAGCATGAGTTATTCTAGTAAGTTAAACCACCAACATTCCTCTGAGACACAAAAATATAAACTATGAAAAAATGTACTTTTTTGGAATCCATGAATTCTTCAGTTCTGTAAACATAGCATAATCCAATGCTATGAGCATTTGTCTTAGTCTGCTTTCTGCTGCTGTAACAGAATACCACACACTGGGTAATTTATAAAGAATAGAATTTTATTTGGCTCATGGTTCTGGAGCCTGGGAAGTCCAAGAGCATGGTGCTAGAAATTGGTGAGGGTCATTGTGAGGAAGGAGACCCTTAATCCTCTGAAGCTTCTAAGAGCCCTTCCCCCTAGACTTCTACATTGCATTTTAGTAGGAGAAGTAAAGGCTGGCAGACCCGGGCACCACCCTTAATCAAACTCCTATAGATCATAGACATGGTATGGAGGAATCTTTCTAGAAGGCATTGTTTTTACTTAAACACGATCACACCCCCACCTAAGTCAAGGTACCCCACGGCTGCTTCATGGATCAAGACCCTTTGACGTGTAATTTCTAGAGTTGTAAGCCTTTAAAAGGGCAGGGATTTTCTTTGTTAGGGAAGCTCGGCTGTTGGGCAACTATGCCGCCGCTGCTCCCAGCTGAATACATTGCCCCTTCTTTCCCAGTTCAGTGTTTCAGAGGTTTGTTTTGTGGCCTTTCTTGCTTCAATCTCATGGTGGAAGGTGCCACATAGGATAGCAAGCGTGCTAGACAGAGAGGAAACTGGGCCAAACTCATCCTTTCATCATCCTGAAATAAACGCATTAATCCATGCATAAGGACAAGGTCCTACCTTAATACTTGAGTTTTGGAGAGGGCATTCAAACCATAGCAGTATCTCTCCCAAGTAGCCAAAATGCAACTCGCCTTTCCTCTAGGCCCCATTGCTTACTACTGGGGCTGCCATATCCAACCTAAGCATCTGTATTCCTGCCTCCTAATTCTGTTTCTACCAGCCATGGACTTGCTTTAGTGGGAACAGTAGCAGCAATGCTAACAACACCGAGAGATGATGGGACAAAGAAGGAGAGCTGTGTAGCAAGATCTACTGGGATGCTGGGCGGCCCCTCAGAACCAATCGGCATGGTAACTGGAGCCTGGGACCCACACCCTTGATTATTCCCGAAGTGCTGGAGCATAAAAAAACAAAAGTTCTATTATTCCTAAACATTAAAATTTAAAAATTTTTAATTAAGAAAAAATTTTTTTAAGGACAGGGTTTTTCTCAGTTGCCCAGGTTAGAGTGCAGTGTTGCACTCATAGCTTACTGCAGCCACAAACTCCTGGGCTCAAGTAATCCCCCACCTCAGCCTCGCAACTAGCTGGGACTATAGGCACATGCCACCACACCCAGTTAATTTTTTAAAATTTTTCGTAGTGGTAGAGTCTTGCTATGTTGCCCAGGCTGATCTTAAACTCCTGACCTCAAGCAATCCTCTCACCTTGGCCTTGATGTGCTGGGATTACAGGCACAAGCCACTGCACCCAGCCTGAAATTTAAAAATTATATAAAGCCTGCCTTAGCCAAGGTCCAGGTGGGAACCAGAGCACTGTCAGATGGTTACATTGAAGAAACTTTAATAGGATGACTTTACAGAGGCATGGGCTGGATTACATCAAACAAGGGAGAGTGAGGCACCCAGAGGCTAGCAAGTATGGGAAGCCTTTACCACCTCTGGGCTGTAACCAAAAGCCAGTGAGAGGGGCTAGTGTGGAGGAGAGGCCACCCTTTGGGGGATGTAAACCTGGGTGGAAAGAAAATACCCCGATGTCTCTTTTCCTGCTTTGTTGTGCCACCCATTGGCTGGACTCAGCAGAAAGCTGACAGTGCAGAGCCCAGGAGATGTAGGCTACAGGGTTCAGCCTCCCAAGGTGCAGAGCAGAGCTGACAATAGATGTGGGAGAGCAAACAAAATAAGCAGTGTAAAGCCAGTATTCCTAAAGCCTCCCATAGAGTCTGGCATGTAATAGGGCACAAGAAATGTTTGTCGAAGAAACAAATGAACCCAGTTACAAGAAAACCTATAAAAGATGGGAGCTGTCAGCAATTAACGTTCCATCTGCTAGGAAACAAGCAGGAGACAGCACTTTGTCTCTAACTCTTTCTGAACTCAGGGTTTCCCTGTGTGGGTTCCAGCTTCTCTCACTGGTGTCCCTGGCACAGAAGCTGCGGGGCTTTATGGCAGGCTTGGATAAGGGAATTTGGCACCAGCATACCAGGCCCAGGCATCACAGGAAAGAGATGCAAGACTGAGACCAGAGAATTGACTAGAAACGAGGCAAGAGAACCTGAAGAAAGAAGACATGAAGAACTAGAGGATGAATGAAACAGCTGTGAAGCAAAAATGAGACAAGAAGGTCTGTGCGCCAGCATTGATGACTACATTTTGAAGCAAATCTTCAGTTAAGAAGTTCATTTTTTTAACTTACTGAATAATGGAAAATATTTGCATAGCCAAAGATAAACAGCAAAGGCTCAGGTCCCTGGCTGCATAATGCAGTTATTCAAAAAAGCCCACTAGGTGCCAGGAATTGTAGACACTAAGGACGGAATGATGAATAAGACAGATATGGTTTCTGCTTCTGTGGAACTTACAATAAAGGGAGGGGAAAAAAGGAGTTGCACATCATATATCATCAGGGAAATGCAAATTAAAACAGCAGTGGGATACCACTACAAATGTCACACAGAGTGGCCAAATTCCAGACAACTGACAACGCCAAATGTTGACAAGCACGTAGGGGAACTCTGCTGATTGCCGGTGGAAATGCAAATGGTTCAGATGCTTTGGAAGACAGTTTGGCAGTTTCTTATAAAATTAAACATTTTCTTCCCATATGATCCAGCAATCTTACTCCTTAGTATTTACCCAAAGGAGTTCAAAGCTATGTCTGCACAAAAACCCATACATGGATGAAATTTACACATGCATAGCAGCTTTGTTCATAGCTGCCAAAACTTGAGAGCAACCAAGATGTCCTTCGGCAGGTGAACGGATAGGCAAACTGTGGTACATCGGGACAACAGAATATTATTCAGTGCCGAAAAGAAATGAGCTCTCAAGCCACAGAAAAGATGTGGGGAAACTTAAATACATGTTACTTAGTCAAAGAGCCAATCTGAAAAGGTTATATATTGTATTACACCAACAATATGACATTCTGGAAAAGACAAAACCGTGGAGATAATGAAAAGATCAGTGGTGGCCAAGGACTGCAGGCGAGAGACAGATGAACAAACAAGAATAGATGATTTTCAAGGCCAGGAAACTACTATGAATGATACTTTAATGGTGGATAAATGTCATTATACGTTTGTCGAAACCCATAGAATGTACACCACCAAGAGTGAACCCTCATGTAAACTGGACTCTGGATGATAATGATGCATCAATGGAAGATCAATTGTAACAAATGTACCATGGGTGGGTGATGTTGATAACGTGGGAGGCTCTGCATGTGTGGGGGCAGGGGGTTTATGGGACATTTCTGTACCTTCCTCTCAATCTTGCAGTGAACCTAAAACTGCTCTAATAATAAAGTATTTTTAAAAAAGAAAGAAACAAGGAATATGAGTTTGCTAGGGCTGCCATTACAAAATACCACAAACTGGGTGGCTCAGAACCATGAGAAAATAAATTCAATAATAGAGTGTATTTTCTCACAGTTCTCGAGGTTGTAAGTCCACGATCCAGGTGCCATCAGGGCTGATTTCTCCTGAGGCCTCCCCTCCTGGTTTATGGATGGCTCCTTCTCACTGTGTCTTCACGTGATTCTGTGTATGTCTGTATCCTAATCTCCTCTTCTTCTAAGGAATCCAGTCATACTGGATTGGGGCCCAACCATATGACCTCATTTTACCTTAATCACCTCTTTAAATGTTCTACATCCAAGTATTGTCACCTCCTGTGGTAACAGAGGTTAAGGTTTCAACAAGAATTTGGAGGACACAATTTCAGCCCTTAAGACAAGGCAATTTCACATAGTGACAAAGTGATACAGCACAGCCGAGCTCCCGGCTAAAACTCACCCTTACGCCTTGAACCTCAACCCTAAGTGAAAACAGCTGACCCCATTTTTCCGCCCAAATGTTGCTTTTTTGGCCTGTCACACCCCTACCCTGTCCCCATAAAATGACTTCAGCTGGCAGAGCAACGCAAGAGGCTGAGCGTTGGGGATACAAGCAGCTTGTATTTGGGATACAGGCAGTGTCGGGGATACAGGCAGCCGAGTGGTGAGCAGAGAAGCAGCAACTCAGTGCTAGAGACTACAGGTAGATGCTGCTAACTTCAGACGGTGCAGCCTCAGGGAAAGATCACCTTGTTTCTGCACCACCC